AAATCTCAAAATATTCCACTGCAATGTCAAACACCAGTTATATATAGATATTGTCTCGCTCAACTATTTCACGAGGCTCGGTTATAGCGTTTCGGACTATATTTAACCGGTCTGTTTGCAATTTTGCTTGTAATGCAAAATTTTCGTCATTATATTACTTGAGCCTCCACTTGCCCATGGTGGACTGTGTGATCGTTTGTCACCTATATTTAAAAAAAAGAGTAATTTAAAGACTAAGAAAGTTTTAAGAAATGATGCGTATGTTAGTGCTAAATAATATGTCCGGGAAACTTGTAGGTAGTGACATAAGCCCGTTGCTGTAGAAATCTTGGAATTTTTGATGAAAAATATGCGAGAAGTAGTTTTGATAGTACTCTCTTGATGTTAACCTTATACTACCCAAATAATTCTGAAGAGAACGAAACAGGTGAATATCTGAGGTGCAGATAGGGTGTAAAGTCGGGACTATATGGTGGATGCATTAACACTTTTCAACTAAGCTCTTTCAATTTTTGAGTGGCCAAAAATGTCAGTGATGATGAGAGACCACTCCTTTTCTGTTGATCAATCCAGCCGTTTTTTCTCAGTTTCTTGCTTGAATCTCATTAGTTGTTGGCAGTAGAGATTCGAATCGATGGTTTTGTCCGGCGGTAAAGGCTCATAATAAACGATGCTCTTCCAATCTTACCATACACACTGCATCACCTTATTGCGTGTTAGTCCTGGTTTCGCTACAGTCTGTGGAGCTGGACTACTCTTTGACCAGTTTTTTTTTTTCACACGTTCTTATTGTAGGTGATCCACTTATCATCTCTAGTGATCAATATTTTCAAAAATGAAACCGAACCAATTTCATTGCGTTTCAATAGAGAATCGCAAATGAGTACATGATTCATTACGTTTCTTTCGTTTGGTACCCAAATATGAAGCTTTTTTGTATAGCCAATCTTTTACAAATGAGTCAAAACTGTTTTGTGGTTAATCCTGAATTCCTCGCATAGGTCATAACTACCAATATGCCGATCTTGCTCAAATTTTTCAAAAATGGCATTGACTTTATCCGTAAGAGGGCGACCAGAGCGAGCTGCATCTTTGACATCAAAATAGGCGGACTGAAAACACTTTTAGTAGTCTTTGAATTACTCTCTTTTTTTTAAATATGGGTAACAAACGATCACACAGTCTACTTTGGCAAGTGGATGTAGTGACCTATAGACATTTATTACGTAACTATTATGCTATTACGTAAACTGAAAACATATGGTATCAGGGGCAGGGCGCATGACTGTGTTGTAAGCTACTTAAGAAACAAGAAACAATGCACAGAGGTAACAAAAATCGCGAAAATTAATTAAGAAACGTACAGATCCCAATTATTAATTAAGAAATCGGGTATATCTCAAGGTAAGCTGGTGCTTCTCAAGGTACCGCATGAGCTGGCAGTTAATAAGGGACTTCATTATTTTCGAGAACAAGGAGGCGATGGCGATAGGATAGTAGTTGGACGGATCAGAGCGGTTACCTTTTTTAGAGATCGGGTGTACGAAATCTGTCTTCCATGAATTCGGGACAACGCCTAGGGAGTACGAGGACCGAAAAAGACGCGTTAGGACCGGTGCTAACTCTGGAGCGCACGTCGTCAGTATAATTGGAAGGATGCAATGAAAGACCGCATTAAGTCCCAATTCGCCGACCTGTAATGCCGAACACGGCGGCAGCCTGCAGAACACAACCGCGAGGGGAGCGTAAGTGGCACCACATTCCGGATCAGATAATGGTCCAAAAAACCGAGAGGGGCATTACAAAATTACAAGAGATAAAATAAAACTTTTGAAGAACCGACTTCAATATAAATAACATGAGAACATCATCAATGTACTCGTAGTAGAAATGTAGAGAGGCACCAGCTTTCAAATAAAAAAAGAATCATCAAAATCGGTTCACCTACAATAAATTTCTGAGGTAACACATTAAAAAAATACATAAAAGATTTGTTAATGAAGAAACCATAAGGCACAAAATAGCCGCGCCTACGCCTGCACCAAAGAAATTGCTAGTTGCAATTTTATTTATTACGTTTCGTTGTTTATTTGACCTCTTTTTAACACGTGCATTTCTTGGATTTAATCATAAGTGGTTTCGAAATCAAAAAAATCTAATCGCAAATAATGTTAATAATAGTAATATTATAATTTATTTAGCTCCAAATATAAAATATAAACTTTAGTTAACGTAACATAAACTAGTTTATGAACTAAAATGGCGTCTACTCAGCACCAATGTTATAGAAACCACATGGCGGTAATATATCCAACCGGATGAGAGGTCAGCAGAAGGTACAACGAAGGTGTATGATCCTTCACATCTGGAATCCGTGTAGGCGAAGTAACCAGTTGTGTCAGACCATATGCCAAGGCAAAGTCATAAACAAATCTCTCCGCATGATCGGTTAAACGTGAACCGAGCTATTCGGCGAGGTGGGCGTTAAAATCGCCAAGTATCACGATCTCTACGGATGGATCTATTGTAGCAAGAAATCTGTAGCAATTCGGACGTGGTCGATGAGTCGGTCTGTGTGGGCAGTACCGCTATGGGACTTATACAGGCACCCGTGTACGCTGGGATGTTCGTCGCTGACTACGCGCAACCAAAGGATGGACAGGTCCGTACCTTCAAGACTGCCGAGGCGTCGAGAACAGAAATCCTCTCTGACGTATACGCAAACTCCAGCCCGGGGCACAAAGAAGTGTTCTAATTGGCTCTGGCCACCTGCAGTAATCGAGCGAAACGCAGAAGCAAAGCTTCTACTTTACGTTGATATTCTGTGAGGTCGTGGTACTGCCCTGGTTCGAGCCGGCCCATACATGCTACAGCAGAAGCTGCAGCGTGGCTCTACCACTGTTAAATCATCATCATTGTAGCCCTTCACAAGTCAACCGTTGAACATAGGCCTTTTGGTTAATATTTAATACTATTTGTAGTAGTAATATATCTATAACATATCTCTTCCTATATGTAAAGCTTTTAAATGCATTATTGCTATTTAAATTCCACGACACAATAACAAGGAAAACATAACTGTTATATGCTAATAAATCAGTGTAAACCAGTGTATCCATGAGTTTTAATAAACGTACCGAAACTCTATAGAATGAAAGTTGTGCTTTATTTAAACAAAGTTATCTACCCAGTAGTCTCTCCGATGAACAATCTCAGAAGTTGCGGTTGTAGGACTTGTCTGAAAGTTTAATTATTTCTAGTATTTGCATTTATCAAATTCAGCATACAAAGCAAGCGCACAACATAAGCATGTTGTGGAGCTTTTAGTAGTTGTTGCACGGGCTTTATTTGCATCTGGCATTGTGAATCGTTGTTATTCATCTAATATATATTTGTAAAGATATAATATAAAACCAACTATATGGCTATAAGACCCTGGAGTCCCTTTGGAGGAGACCCTTTGAAAGTTAATAAAAAAATTAAGGCAAGTTTCTTTTTAAAAATAAGTTCGTGAACATTTTAGAAAATAATTGCAGTACATTCTTTACTTTTTTAAATTTTCGTTTTTTTGCTGAGTTGCCTCTCATTTTTATCTCTGCTAACAATTTTTTTTAAGAAAGAGAAAGAGAAAGAGAAATGGTCGACTTAGAGAGAAAGCTAGGATAGACTTCGCAATTAGGGGTCGGGTGCTCTGCTTATATCCGAGACGCAATCAACCCTAGCAGGCATTGCTGAAATTATTAGTTGCAATTAATCTTAATGATAACATCTCAAAATATTTAAAATCTGCGCGTGCCAACCGTATCATAAGGGCCTAACATATATTTACATTAAACATTAAGTTTTAACATATTTTTTTTATAATTAATAGAATCAGTCGTTACTTTTCGGAAGTCCATTATGATAAATTTGACAAAAACTACTTTGCGTACATCCGCTAGATAAAGTAAAGTGATGTGTCTTACCTAGTTTGAACAGCACCTCCCGCCCTCCCTCAATTGCGTGCACTATCCCCGTCACTACTAATCCCAGCACCACTACTCCCAACACCACTACACTAGGAAAGACACACCACTGACGACAATACGACACGTGTTTCGCCTCTACACGAGGCATCCTCAGGTAATATAGACTCTACGGTGGCTAACCGCTAAGTGAGCGGCGAGCCAAAACAACTGCGGTTGCGTCAGCGGTCTGTCTGGTCGGTCCTGTCAACTTTAATTTCTTTATCTTTATCTCTATAATATATAGTTTATTTCTCTCTATCTCTATTAGGTGGATTTAATACCATATAGCATTAAATCCACCTATTGTAACTCTTGGTTTAAGATGTATTACAATAGATAAATATTGAAGAAAGAAATTAAATAAACATTAGCTTTGTAGTAAGGTATTAAAATTTCTGGTTATTTAATAAGAATTGAATACATAAATATTTTCATCTCACTGTGAAGAATCGGGATTAAGTGGATGCTTGGAGGTCAACCACTGTACGTTTCCCTAGGAGTTTTCTTCCGCGCACGACCTCTCTGTGGAATAGCTTACCACCGGCAATTATTCCGGACCGATACGACTTAGGGACCTTCAAGAAAAGCTTATTCCTTTTTCATAGGCTGGCAACGCACCTGAAATTCCCCTGGTGTCGCAGTTGTTCATGGGTGGCGGTAGTCACTTACCATCAGGTGAGCCGTATGCTCGTTTGCCCTCCCTCCTATAAAAAAAATAGAGTATTGCTATTTTATTTAATTAACACTATGGTTCTATGTTCTTGAATCATTCGATAGGTATGCTGTCGCCTTGCTGCGCCATTATCTATATGATCTTGCCACCGTTACTTTTTTCTTTAGAGCAATTCTTAATTATAATGTATAAACCATCGAATCAGTACCAAATACTGTTTTGATTCGACTTTGGGTCTGAACACTCCTGGAACATTCGAGATTAGATATCACTTACCTGAGTAACACGTAACTGCACACGTCGGATGATCTTTACCTTACCTTGAACTGGCTGAGGTACTCCTGCTGACGGGTAATATCAGTGGCGAGGATGAGCGACGAGATCTGATGCTCCAGCTTTGCTCGTACGTCCTGCAACTGGTCCAGCACGCCGCTCTCGATGAGACAGCTCACTGCTGAGCGCCAGTGGTGATTCTCCAGTACCGATGTGTTCTGGACAGAGAATATCGTGGTTTTACACATTATAGTGAGGTCGAAGTAACAGTTCACAATATTTCTACTGATTTTCACAGTTATGTCAATGCTAAAAGGGTTTTAGAGCAGGAAAGAGACCATCGCGCTGACTCATTATGTGTCGGTAATATTTGCATTTCCTCGATATTTCTTTTCATATTAGAGGGGCCAAACGAGCATGCGGTTCACCTGATGGTAAGTGACTACCGCCGCCCATGAACAACTGAAAAACCAAGAGAATAGCAAATGCGTTGTCGGCCTTTTAAAAAAGAGTAGGATCTTCTTTTGAAGGTCTATAAGTCGTATCGATTCATAGGAAATTGTGCGAGGAAGAAAACTTCTTATAAATCACACAGTGGTGGACTGCCAATCATCCAGATAGTATGGATGGTATTGCGAATATTGTCGCGATGTGCGACGCTGAAATTGAGCGGCTGGAATTAGTCCAAACAATTCCCCTGAAGAGTTTTTTTTAAGAGAGAGAGAGAATGAAAGAAAATACATTTATTTGTGGTTGGAGCGCATAATATAAATACAAACATAAGAATACATTACTGCAGAGTAATGGCGCCGTAAAACAATACACTTCCTCATATAATCCCGTGTGTATCGTAAGAAGAGGAAAATGAAACAGGAGATGAGCGGCAACAAATTCCTGCAACAACTAATAATAATGAAAACTGCGATTGCCAACCTGACTGGCACGCGACCAGCCATGGCAAATCTGCCCTTTATGAAGTAGTCTATGGGGGAAAAATATGTTCAGCAGTGGTCTTTTAATAGGCTTTAATGAAATGATGTGTGAACGTTACTGCCGAGCACGCGGTAAACCAGCACTCAAAGTTACAATCAACAATTTTAATGGTACTGATGCAGATCGTAATTGTATTGCTCGCATGCTAAGTGTGGTAAGTATATATATATATATATATATATATATATATATATATATATATATATATGAATTTATAAATCCGTGGCAGCTTAAGAGAACCTATTAGCCTATATAATCCTGTGGATAGCATAAGGACAAACAGAGGAAAATCAAACAGGAGATGGGCAGCATCTTCCTAAAAACAACTTAATATAATAAAAAATGCGATTGCCAACCAGTCTGCCAAGCATGGCGACTATGTCAAACATCCCCTCTATAAGTGAGGACTAAGTTCAGTGGTAGACTTCTGATAGGCTGTAATGTATGAAAAATAACATTATAGATAAGAGAGGTCCATACTGTGATCAAAACTCGACCTACCAAGCGTGGAGATTAAGATTAATGTAAAAACAACAAAGATGGACTTTTATGGACTGGTGAGATGAGATATATATATATTGAAGTATACGAAAATGTCTAAGTATTGTTAAGAATAAGAATAAAAAATAAAGGAAAATACGACGAAGTACGGTTTCCTTCGTTTTTCGTAATGCATACCTACAACAAAGAAATGAAATAATCTGCCAACGTCTGTCTTTCCGTTCGATTACAATCTGGGTGTTTTAAGGCAATAGTAAATATGCCTTTGTTACGCGAACGCAGTGCGATTTTGAATTTTATCGCCAGGCGGGAATGTAGTCAACCACTGGTTTATACTACGTAAAAAAGTGAGGGTAAAACTCGAAACTCTAAAATGTTCATGCATTATAAAGTGCGATGCAAGCAACTAGGTTTGATGAGTCATTTGGCGAGTCTTAATAGGTGTCGTGATTCTATTCGCTGTAGTAATGTGTGGCTTTAATTACAAATAAAAGGAGTTACGTTGAAAAAAGGCTGCCCTGCTTTTGGTTTGCATAATTTCATCTGTATTGTTGTTAATTTGTATTTACTTCTAACTGCTTTTCGTGTCCTATGAGTGTATATAACGTAAAGTCCTATACGGAGAAAATTAATTTTATCTAAACAATTTGAAGAGTAATCCCTAACAGTGTATTATTTTGGAGTACTGCCAGACTGATATTTTTGAATATGATATACAATTATTACAAGTGGATTGACGTATCTATCTATCTATGCCTATAATTCTTTATCAAGAATGACGTTAGCAATGACGGAAGTAAGACTCCTGAAATGTGCCCCGGTTAATGAGCTAATATTGCAAACCGCAGACAACATTGTGGGAGGGTTCGACTTCAATGAACTTTTTTATAAAATTTGAGGCGAATTTACAGTTCCTATTTAAAATAGAACAGAATACTTTTTATTGAATATCATCATCATCATTACAGCCTTTCACAAGTCTACTGCTGAACAAGGAATCCACCCCCCCCCCCCCAAGAAATGCCAACAAGCACGGTACTGAGCCAGCTGCATCCATCGACTTCCTTTATGTCTTACCAGGTTGACACTCCATCTAGTCGGGCGTCACCCTGAACTTCGCCTGCCGGTACGGAACTGCCACTTGAGAACCTTTTTTCCCCATCGGTTGTCGGTTCTCATTACCACTCTAGCTTACTAATCCGTTCGGCTATGTCGGTTATTCTGGTTCTACTGCGGATATCCTCATTTCTAAGTTTATCAAGCAGAGAAACCCCGGGCATAGCCCCTTCAATAGCGCGCTGAGCGATCTTGAGCTTCCTTATATGGCCAGCAGTGAAGGACTACGTCTGAGATCCATAAGTCATCACTGGTAACAGGCACTGGTTGCACAATCTCGTCTTCAAGTTTTGAGGTATACCTCACGATTACCTTCACGAGAAGAAATGTCGTAATTTCCCGATCGCTGCTCAGCCGAGTTGAACCCGCCGATTGACCTCTCGGTCGAAATTGGACTTACCTAGTCAGATTATTTGTCCCAGGTAAACATACTCGTCAACAACTTCGAGCTTAGTGATCCCAACAATTACCAGCAAAGGTGTGACATGGACCTTATATATGATCTTTGTTTTGTCCATGTTCATCTTAAGACTTATCCGTTGGGAGACACCATTGAGGTCATTGAGCATAGTGCTTAGGTTCTCCAGAGATTCTGCCATAAGGACTATATCGCCGTCGAATCGAAAGTGAATGATGTATTTGCCATTGATGTTAATACCGTATCGTTTCCAGTCCAGTAGATTGAAGACGTTTTCCAATTTAGCGGTAAAAAATTGGAGATATAACATCATCCTGTTTTACACCTATCTGCAGTTGGATAGGTTTCATACTTTGGTTCTGTACTCGGATAGTCATCACTTCGATATACCGACGGTCAACTTGCTACCGCTGAAAGGACTGTACCACCGCCCAAATTATGACCGAATCAAAGGCTTTCTCATAGTCTACATACGCAAGGCAAAGCGGCAGATTGTACTATTCGGTCTTCTGTACAATTTGCCGAAGGGTATGTATGTGGTCTATGGTACTAATAAAGCCTTTACGGAAACCGGCTTGTTCGGGAGGCTGTAAGTCGTTGAGTTTGCATGCGAGAATATTCGTAGTGACTCTCGAAAAGACCAGTACGTATACGCGGCTCAGAAGAGAAATAGGTCTGTAGTTCTTCAAGAGAACGTTGTAGCCTTTCTTGAAAAACAAGGCCACAACACTTCTGCTCCACGTCTCTGGAGTAGTGCCGCCATCGAGGACGGAACTAAATAGCTTCTGAAGGACTTCAAGTACCGGTTTTCCACCCGCTTTCAGAAGCTCTGCTGTAATTCGCTTTGAAAGTGCCGGAGAGCCAATCTAATCTCGCTCAGACTGACGTCCGGAATATCATCTGAATATTGTCGGATGAGACTTACTCTAGGATCATTACTTGCTCTTGCGTGTGGCACTAACGATGATTGTGTACATCTTCCCATAGAACCTCTCAATCTCACTCAAAATCTCAGGTGTCCCAAAAACGATGCTGCCACAATCGGTCTTCTGCTTCTACAGTTGATTGTTTCTGGCAGACATAATATCTCTGGCAAAGACTTTGGAGCCCTGGTTCAATTCAATGTGATCGGTTTCCACTGCATTGCAATCTTCTAGTTACTTACTGAAAACGATTTCTTAACTCGAGATGAAAGTTTTCGGTACTTTGGATTAGAGCACGTCACTTGATTAGACGTGACCTCTCCAACTTAACGTTTAGGTTCAGTGTGCCTCTTACCATTCGGTGTTCGCTGTCAGTTCTCACGCTCGCGATCACTGAGACATCACTGAACAGTTGTCGTCTGACGTCGACATGATGAAGTCAATCTCATTTTTTGTTGAACCGTCGGGGCTCGATCAGGTCCACTTCCTGTGGGGCCGCTTCTGGAAGAAAGAGTTCATCATAAAGAGTTCCTCTTTTTCCATGAAGTAGGCCAGCTGCTGGACCCTTGGAATCCGTTGCTCTTTACCAAATTTCCCTACCTTCAGCTCACCGTTCTCTCTTGTGGCTAGTTTTTCGTTGAAGTCTCCCATTAACATCGTATAGAGGGTTTTGGAGGAACCTATTGCTTTAGAGATATCCTCATAGATCTCCTTCACCTCATCATCAGGATATGCTGAGGTTGTTGCGTACACCTGTATGACCTTCAACGAATAACGTTTAGTGATTCTGAGTATAACGTACGAAACCCTCGTCGACTCACTCACAATCTTTACAGTGTTGTTAATGAGAGATTTGCGGACGATAAATCCAACACCTCCTTGGGACAGATGGTCTCCCTCCCGGTGATAGAACAAATTGCTGGATTTGGGGATTACAATGTCCTCCCTCTCGCGGAACTCAGATAAACCTATAATGCCCCATAGCAACTCGTCTATCTTTACTTTTAGTTCCAGGATCTTCTCGTCGGTCCTCAGGATGCGTGCGTTGTGCGTGCGTTGTTCGTTGCCAGGTCGAGTTGTCTTAGGTAGCAACCGAACCTTCACCAGAGATTCTTAGCACCCCCTGCTCCGCCGTTCCCATGGTTGCGCACCGAAGCCAGGAATTGCGGGGCCGTCATAAGGGGGTATATTGCCATAGATGCCACGCTTAGCGAGCGGGTTGGCAACCGCAGTTTTTATTGCTATTTTGCTATTATCAAAAAAATGC